TGTCGACAGCGGTCAACACAAGGTACCCCGGAGGGGATGGACCGAAGACAATGACCAAGCCATTTGTCTCGTGCCATCCATCTCCAGCCTTCCACAAACAGAGGCCAGGGACACCATTTCTACCCCCTGGCTAATACCACTCCATGGACCCAACCTCCATGACTTTATCTAACTTCTCTTTAAACTCTGTTATAGTTCTAGCCTTCACAGCCTCCTGTGGCAAGGAGTTCCACAGGTTGACTATTTGCTTTGGGAAGAAGAACTTTATGTTGTTAGTTTGAAGGCAGCTACCTATTCATTTCATTTGGTGTCCTTTGGTGTCCTAGCACTCAGGGCACTCCAAGCCAGGACTGCTTTGCAAGCGGGGAACCCCTGAGAACTGTCTGTCCGGGGTGGGGGTCGGGTCCCTTTAAGCACAGCTCTCGGCTAGCCTGAGACAGCAGCTCCACGCTCTAAGTCCTAATCTGCTGCCCTGCCGGCACTGCTTCCGGCCATCCTTAACCTCGGTTCAGGGTCCACTCAGTGTGGACATGCTAGTTCGAATTAGCAAAACACTAATTCGAACTAGTTTTTAAGTCTGGATGTGCTCATTCAAATTAGCTTAGTTTGAATTAACTAATTCGAACTAAGTTAGTTCGAATTAGTGCTGTAGTGTAGACATACCCTAAGATATTCTCTGTCTTCGCGATGGCGAAGCCAAGAACTAGTGGCCCAGGAAGAGGAGATGCACGTGGCAGGTCTTGTCCGGGTTACTCGTTACGAAGTGAGGAAATGAAAGAACGGCTCCCTCTTTATTTCCTGGGTTCAGCTCCACTGCAATTACAAACCAATGTCTGGACCGCACCGCCTAACGCATCCCTTCAGCTAGGCTCGGGTGCAGCTGAACATGGGCTGGCGCTCACACGGGCCCCAAGCAGCCTGTTCTGGTGAGGAAGGAAACCCAAACATCTGGGCTAGTCGCAGGTGGGGAAAGAGCCGAGAGGCAGCCATGGGAGAGTAAAAGTGAAAGTGCTTCCAGCCGCCTGGCACGGGGCGAGGCTGGGGGACAGCTGGCATGAATGCCTGGCTTTGTCCCAGGCACTGGAGAGCGTTAGCCTCACAGGCCACTGCGGGCTTCTTTTTTCCCTCCAACTCCAGACAGCCCAGTCTGCCGCTGGCCTGAGAAAAGCCGCTCTGCTGTGTCCGGCTGCACAAAACGCCTCCGAAAAACACAACTTAAGCTCTCCCAACAGGTGGCCAGAAACCCAACCCCACGCGGTCCTGCCTGGCGGAGTCTGCTCGTGAGAAACATCTGGCTAGGAGCCCAGCCTGCCGCCCGGCCCGGTGGGGGTGGGGCAGGGCCCAGCTCCGGGTCCCCCGACACCGGAGAGCAAACAAGGCAGCCAATCGGGGAGACGAAGGGCGGGCCCCCAGCAATGCGTTTGTGACCCTCACGCGACAGGAAGCCAGGCTGGACGGCTTGCGGAATGGGGGGGCCTTTGGGGAGTGGTCACCAGGCTCACAACAAAGCACTGAGAGGAGAAGGCGAGAAAGGGAAAACAGACACCCGGCAACGCCCTTCCAAGGGTGACAACGGGCCGGCTCTCCAGCCACGCTGGCCTGGCACAGCGCCACTGACTCCACGGCCCAGGGCGGGGGGAAGCCAGACGGGCGAGCGTCGGCAGCACGCACGGAGGAAGGATGCGGGCTGGGCACACCAGGCACCTCGCCCCAAGGAGGAGGCTGAGTCTGGCTGATGCAGCCCCTCGTGTCCTGGGACAGGCAGGGGTACAGCATCTCGAGGGCCCTGCCTTGGGGAGCACCCGCTCCTGGACACGTACTGAAGGGCTGTCCCGGGTCCAACCGGGGGGTGTCCGGCTGCCGTGGACAAGCACGGCTCCTGCGGTGGGCGGCAGTGACAGAAACTCTAGCTCTTCCAGCAGGGAAGCTGGAGAACACGGAGCCCTGGAGGTACCGAGGCTCAGCCCTGCCCAGGGATTAAAGAGGGTCAAATTCAGAGCCTGCTCCTCTTGCAAAGGAAACTTACGCAGGTCGCGGCTTCATGGCTGGAGGGCGGGAGAGGGGGAAGGGCAAGGCAGGAGAGCTCTTCCAGTTCGGATAAAGAGGCGGAGGCCCTGTTGACACTACGGAGGTTACAGAGAGGCAGCGGGGGGGC